GCGGAGCACCAGTTGTCACTTAGTAGCACTGCATTTAGACACAGTGGGCGCCGAAGTGCCACTTGGTGTCCTCCTGTAGCTGGCCAGTGATGAACCCAAATTGACCACTTTGCCGCAATGTACAGGTGGCGTGGTTTCATCCTGGACTGCCGCTCGTACTGGAGTACCTGCGTCGTCACTGATCATGCCTTAGCACGCTGTCGTTTTTCCGAGAGGCGCACCTCGCGTCTCTCCCGATCATCAACTGAGAAATTGTCACAGTCTCCGGTCAGGCAAGCCTACCAAGACGCACTGCATACCCAACTTTCGCTGTCTTGTCCTAACGACACTGAGCTTCAGTGGAATAGGATCTCGGCCGCCATACACGAGGCAGGAGTATCTGCTTGTGGCACTATCAACCGTCACCGCACCATTCACTGAATATCCGATAGGTCGGTGAACCTGTTGGAAACTAGAAGAAACCTCCCGGCTGACTCTGAACACAATGTCACCAGAAGGACTAGTAGGCGCGAACTGAAGCGGAGCATACGTGCTGACAAAGAAGTCTGGTGGACCAGTAGAGCTCACGAAATGTAGCAGGCTGGAGCAGTAGGCAATTATCGCAAGCTCTTCGAGCTAATCCGTATCACTAGTCCAAGAATACCAGGCGTCAGTGAGACAATCAGAGACAGCGCAGGTGCACTGATACACAATAAGGAGCGCAGTAAGGATTGTTGGGCGGAACACTTTCGTGATCCGTCCAGTTGACCCCTGCTTCTTTACCTCTTCCTATTCAGGTAATGCAGGACGAGCCATGGACGGTTAGTGTAGAGCTTCCGTCAGAATTTGACGTCCGAAACGCGATCACAGCCTTCAATCGTTTTCGTGCCACTGGTCCGGATTCCCTCTCACCTGCACTATTTAAGGAAGGAGGTTAGGTCCCCTGCAAAACACTGACCTCCCTATTCGAACGTATCTGGATGGGAGAGAGTGTCCCGGCTAACTGGAACGGATAGATTATAGTGGCAATATACAAGGGCGGTTGCACAGACTGTACTAACTACAGGGGTATTAGCCTAACGTCACTTGTGACAAAATTATTGGCCTCGATTCTCATTGTGGAACGGGAATCCTGGATTAGGGAAGAGCAGGCAGGTTTCCGCCCAGAAGGTGGCTGTGTAGACCATACATTCACTTTGCGGCAGGTACTAGAGCAGCGCCACGCATACCGCAGACCGAGAATAGCTGTGTTTCTCGATTTGAAGCGTGCATTCGATTCTGTCGATCGATGTATATTTTCGAACTAGTTGCATGGAAAATTGTTCAAATGAAATATGTGAAGGTCTTACATGCTCTATGTTCAAACACTACAGGCGGCGTCAGGGTCTAAGATGATCTGTCGGACAGGTTTCCGACCACAAGTGGCGTTCGTCAGAGTTGTCCGATTTCCCCGTTTTTGTTCAATTTTGTCATGGACTATATTGTGGAGTGTTCCCTTAGGGAATTTCACGATGTAGGTTTGAGGTCCAGCCAAGTGAAAGGCTAGTTGATCATCATTATGTGAACGATATTGTCTTGCTTTTCGACGATGTTGTGGAGGCACAACAAACCCTGAATAGCCTGTCTAGAGTGGTCCCAATATGGGTATCGCACCTTCATAGTGTTGCTACAGGAGCACCAACCACTTTAAGACCCCTTGACGCTTGATAACGAAAAACTCGAGCAGGTTGATCGATTCACTTACCTTGGCAGCTACATCAGCAACGATGGACGCACAGAAGCTGAAGTCAGTTCACGCATTGTAAACGCCAGAACTGCCTTATTGAACCTGCGGCATCTTTGGCGACAGAAGGGAGTTTCCCTCCGTCTGAAAGGTCGTATTTACAAGGCCACAGTGAGGGCCGTTCTGCTCTATGGGAGCAAGACTTGGCCCCTTTGGTCTAAGATCTGAGGCGCCTTCAAGTCGTTGACCACTGATGTCTGCGAAGCATTGCTGGTGTCGGATGGCACTAGCGTGTCCGCAACGATGATGTGCGTAGACAAGTACTAGGTAATGATAATCATACTAACTCCTTAGAACAACAGATAGCACTGAATAAGTTGCGTTGGCTTGGGCACGCGCTACGAATGCCCGGTCACGGTTTACCTAGGGGGGCTTTGTTTAGTCTGCCATATGTAGTGTGGCGCAAAGACTCGAGGTTGACAACAGTTGACTTGGAAGCGTGAAATGAAGTCACTGACGACCAAAATGGGTGCCGTTGGTCCTTCTCGCCTTCCGCGCTGGAGTCCACATGATCTGCTTTGTGCTTGGCTTGAGACTTTACAGGATATGGCTGGCAGTTGGCACCAGTGGCGCGTCTGCTGCACTCTCCTAGTCGCATTGCCTGCTGTGTTATCTGCGGGGTGATGGCTGATTATGACGCGTGGCAGTGAAAGCCACAAGGAAGCTGTCTCGCCGATGCCACCTTATCTTTGCACGATAGCCAGTTGTTTGTGACGGTATGTTGTCTACATAAGGTGTAAGCGTCTTGACCCTGAATGTTTGCTTAGGGCATGAAGGACTTCAGGTAAGTCCCCCTTCTCTCCATTTTATTATTCTTTATTCCATAGGTCATGGCAGCGAAGCATCAGTTTAAATGGCTGATTTACTGCTGATGATGTTGTGATTGTTTTTCGTTTGACGGGGACCATGCAGAGTTGCCCTACTCCTCTCCAACGACATGACGTCGTATTTTGTATCCAAATTGCCGAAGGTTGCAGCGACAAGTAGGTAGGTATAAAGCGAGGTGCTTCCACAGAATGGATCGCAGAATTGTTTCATCTATGACAGTGTGTCAGCAGTACGCCGTAACCGCGCTTCACTGCCGTGCGACCACCACCAACACTCGCATGCCGGCTGAGTATACCGCGAGGACGCCCACCTCTATGTGGATTCGAACCCGCGCCGCAAGATTACAAGTTCGTTACCTCTAGGCTACGGGTCGACTGTTTAATCTATAATGCGCAATCTTTTGATCATAAAATAAGAACTGTTGTTGCATGGTGAGGAGAGTGCACCAATGTAACAAACGCGCATGAAACAGCACGGAGCGTGGAGTGGACTATACACACACACATACACACACACACACACACACACGAATAGCGATCAGCAAGGAGACAGTAAAACATAGGTGATGAAAATTCACGAGACAAAAAAGGCAAATTCTTACTGTCATTATGAATAGTAGTGTGTAACGCTGACTTCTACCTGTAAGCCCTTGTCTCAGATGCATAACCAACCGTCTTTTTCAATTTGGGCAGGAACCGGATAGGTTAGCTAGATAGACGCGCGTGGTACGCGCAGGTGGAAATCGATTCTAATCTCGAGTGCACAGGGCTAGGGTGATGATCAGTTCAGGGCTTATGTCTATTTCAACTGCGCAGCGGAGTAAAATATAAGTCGGTGAGCGCAAAGTGAAGCAACAGTTCCGTATTGAGAAATAGGTAGTTTTGGATGTAAAATTGTCAGGGAAAAGCGGGACAAACTGAGAAATCAGCAGTTCTTCAGCAATCAGAGCGCAGCAGCAGTAAGCCCAATTTGTATGAACGAAGGTAACATACATCCTTGTGCACATTAATTGAAACAAACTACGATTGTATCTCTTTTTCTATGAATATCATGTTTTTATACATGAAAGCTGCCGTTTTGCATTTTTTTTTATTTTATTTTGGGAATAGATATTTCATCATTTTTTGTGAATCAGACGATGTAATAACTGCGCATGTCTACTCGTTACATGACCCAAGATTGCATCATACTTTTTATGGTTAGTAAGGTTTTTGTTTCAACTTCTTGTTTTTTGTGATTCAGTCATTGTTTGAGATGGACGTGACTCCCAGAAGGCGCATGAAGATCGTGACCTTGCACGAACACACAGACAAGACCTACAGGGACATAGCAAGAATAGTAGGCGTCAGTCCGGCAACCGTCAGCCGTGTGGTCAAAATGAAAAAGGAAACGGGATGCATTTCGCCAAAACGCAAAGGGAAATGTGGTCCTAAGAAGAAAAACCACTGCCAGGGATGACGATTACCTAATACGGGAAAGTGTTAAAGATCCTCGAAAGACTAGTGACGCATTAAAACGTGATTTGGGGGAGAAAGGAATAGAAATCAGTTCTTCAACGGTTCGCAGGCGACTCCTGGGAGTTGGTCGGAAAGCCAGACGGCCTGTGAAAAAACAACTTCTGACAAAAGTAATGAAAGTTAAGCGTTACAAATGGGGACTAAAATACAAAAACTGGACAAAAGAAGATTGGAGAAAAGTCCTATTCAGCGATGAAAGCCATTTCTATGTTCATGGTCAGAGAAGTCAGTATGTTCGGAGGTCAGAGGGAGAAAAGGTTCGTGATTCCCACATTGACCACTTTGTGAAGCACCCACAAAAGCAGATGTTTTGGGGGTGCTTTAGTTATTACGGCGTCGGCGCCTTGCATCCAGTCCAGGGCATGATGCGCTCGCCACAATATATAGAAGTTCTCCAAAGAAGAGCTGTTCCAGAACTAAAAAAGACATTTCCTGACGGATCTGGCGTATTTCAACAAGATCTGGCCCCGTGCCACACATCAAAAATGGTCAAGACTTTTTTCAATACTAATCAAATAACCATCTTGGACTGGCCTGGGAATTCACCAGATTTAAACCCGATTAAAAATATGTGGTCTATTTGCAAGCAACGCCTTCGTGGCATGGACTGTACGACAAAGGAGAAACTTAATCAAGCTTTAATTCAAGTTTGGTACAGGGACCCAAGATGGGCTAAAGTTTGTTCAAATTTAGTGGATTCCATGCCAAACCGTATTAAAATGCTACTCAAAAGTCGAGGAGGTCATGTTGTGTATTGATGTGAGTATATTAGTGCAATTCATTATAACAATTTTGAAAAAAAGGTTTTTCAGTGTTTTCGCAGTTTGTTTCAATTAATGTGCACAAGGATAGGTACGGAGATTAAAAACCATACATTTACTCCTGTAACTTACAAACCACATCAGGAGACCGCCAAACAACATTTGCTTCATGTTTAGCTGATATTCTCCGGAGAGTGCACGTTTCTGCACCATAGTCAAGAGCCGATGCAGTTCTGTAGCATGTGTGTTTAACTGCGTGACTCTGGCCTCCACGTCCGCCACCATCTGTTGATCACCGGTATGGGCCATATACGACAATCCCAGTGTAATCTTCTTCATAAGATTATCTAAAAGCAAGGCTGTGTGACACAAAAGAACAAAGATAAAAGAAAGTTGGGGTCATAAGCTTGACAATGAGATGGTCAGACAGATAAAGAAAATAAAACTAGCCGGACTGGTTTGGCGCTACGGTTCTAATTCGCTAATTGTAACGGTCTTCAGTCCGAGCTGCACATTGCACAGGGTAAAAGCAAAGTTCGAGGTTAACAATGATGAGCGTGCATTTGTGCATTCCACTAAAAAAGGACAAGTTTAAAGGAGTGAACACCATCAAGTATCACGCACGACAAACAGAATTAAGTCATCAGACGCATCGGCTGACTATGGAAAGTGTGCAGACAGTTACACGCTTTCCGACTTTGTGTGATATATATATATATATATATATATATATATATATATATATATAAACCTGATGACACGCTCAGCTATCTTCCGTGATACGGCCGGTGCCGAGGAGCGACCGACTATTTCTGCTGGGTGATTTCAAAGCGCGTGTTGGGCATAATGCATTGGTGTGGACAGATGTCATCGGTTCGCATGGCATTGGTTCAGCGAATGCGAACGGTGACAGACTGCTCTCACTGTGTGCCACGCACGGCCTGACGATCACGAACACTCGGTTTTCACTGAGTGCGAGTAATATAGTAACTTGAACGCACCCACGGAGTGATCACGCTCACCTGCTCGACTATGTCATCGTACGTCAGCGTGACATGCGTGAAATGCGGATGACAAGTACAGTGCGTGGAGATGAGTGTGGCACCGATCACAAGTTGGTGCGACCAAACTGTACCGTGAACAGGCGGAAATATAACGTTCTTTCGCTAGGCACTGTGGAGAAGAAGATGGAGTTGGAGAAGGCGGTGGATGCATGCTTGTGTGATGTGGAGTGCATAGCCACAGTAGGCCACCTGTGGCACCACATTCGTGACAGGTGACAGCTATTGCCGAAGAGACCATCGGGCGCGCAAACAGTAAGCGGTTTGATGAGAATAATGGGACGATCGGTGCATTGATGTGTGAGAAGAATGCAGCATTTGATGCACATGTCGCAGACCCCAGTGACTTGAGAAAGAAGACTCATTTTCGCACAAACTCGAGGGCGTATGAGTCGAGAGTTCCTACGCGTTTTATATGCATGATGGACAAAGAAGGCGAAGCAGATGAAACGCTGTGCCGAACGCGCCCAACACAAGGAATTCTTTAACGCCTTGAAGGCGGTTTATGGAACGAGGTTGGAGCTGCTGTGGACGCTGATCGATGGTAGTTCAGGCGATACCTGCACATAGACTGCAAACATAATGCAGATCTGGCGAAAACACTCTCTTGAACAACCGTTCAGAGATTGACTAGTTTACAATGAACGGCGCGAAGCAGCACAATGTGAAGATGAGTCTGGAGAACACTCCGAAACTGGATGAGACGCCGAGAGTCCTAGATCAACTGCGAAACGGCAAGTGTGCCGGTGTCGACTGGACCCCGGCTGAAGTATTGAAACACGGTTTACCCGCGTTGGTGAATGCGCTGCACCATTTGGTGCAACGCATGTGGATTGAGAAGGAGATGCATCCAGAGCTGATGGATGCCCTTGTAGTACCATTGTACCAGGGCAAAGGGAGCAAGCAATGTGCTATGAATTATCGTGGCATCAACTTGCTGAGTTGTGTGGGCAAGGTCATTGCCCGAATCCTGCTCAACCGCCTCGTCAGTCAGGTTTTGGAACCGAACGTGGCGGAGAGCAGTGTGGATTCCGTTTAGGTAGTAACACGATAGATGTGGTGTTTGCGGCTCGTTAGTTGCAGGAAAAGCATAGAGAACGACACCAGTCATTGTACTCGCATTTTGTTGATTACACCAAACCATTTGATACGGTGAACCGCCAGGCATTGTGGCTGGTGCTGGGTAAGTTTGGTTACCTGCGTAAGTTTAATTGAATGTCTGCACAGTGGTATGCGGGCGACGGTGTAGTTAAGTGGACAGACCTCGGATGAGTTTGCAGTTGCTTCTGGTGTGAAGCAAGGCTGGGCCTTAGCTCCTCTTACGCTGTTTAATATCTATCTTCATGTCACGTCTTGTGCTTTTTATGTCACTTGCGCCTAAGGTGTTCGTGTGGAGCATCGTATTGTTGGTGGGTTGCTGAACATCCGTCGTTTTGGTTCGAGAACCCTAGTCTGTGAAACAACAATCCGTAGGTTACTGTTCGCTGACGACTGTGCGTTGTTTGCAAACAGCGCGGATGAGTTGCAGCACAAGACCAGTGCTCTGGCTTCGACAGCGGCCAAACTGAAGCTCACCGTCAGCACAAGCAAAACTGTCTGTCTCTTTCAGCGTTCACCCGGAATGGAGTCCGTGGGCTTGCTCCAAATCAGTGTTGGAAACTAGTCAGATATTTTGTTACCTTGGAAGCGTTATAACAACCGAGCTGCGCAGGCGCGCATCGAAGACGGCTGCTGCATTTGGCAAGCTGGAATGCCGTGTGTGGAACAACCACCAGCTCACTGTCGGGACGAAGCTGCTGGTATACAAGTCTATGGTGCTGTCCGTTCTTCTATACGGCAGCGAAACCTGGACGCTTTATCGGAAGGATGTCCGTTATCTGGAGCGCTTCCATCAACAGTGTCTGCGTCGTATTATGCGCATCGGCTGGAGTGACCGAGTTGCAGACACGGAGGTGCTCCGACGCAGTGGCATGTATGCAGTGGACTGCATGATTCTGCTGAGGCGATTGAGGTGGCTCGGGCAAATTCGCCGCATGGATTCGATCCGGATATCGAAACAGCTGCTTCATGGCCAACTGCGTGCACGTAAGCGGCACGTGGGAAAACCGGTTACGTTACCAGGACATGATCAAGGTGAGCCTATCAGGTTCTTATGTTGATAGGCAGTAATGGGAAACGAAGGCGGTTGATCGGCATGCATGACGCAATCTGATCATGAACACAATTACCGAGGTGCAGGAGAAACCCCACTTGAATGCGGAGAAGAAACTGCAAGTGCGAAAGTGACAGGCGCCGATAGGTGGTTCCAAATTGCACTGCTAAGCACAGCTAAGCAGATGTGCTTTGGTGGGCTATAGGTGGTATTGCATGACCCTGGTACTGATACTGACTGATCAGAAGCAGCGAGTAGAGCATACTCTGTGTAGCTGCATCAATTGTCGCTCTTGGACATTAACGTATTAATTATCGTTCCGCTCTCTATATTCTGCCTCTGCAAAGTGTTTGTCTAGAAGCTTCTTAAATTCGGCCACTGACTTCGCCTCTATTACCGGCTGAGGCAGGTTGTTCCAGGTATTCACCACTCTACGTTCGAAACAGTGTTGGTGAGCTACCCGCTTCAACTGCGGTACGATAAGTTTGTACCGGTGTCCTCGCGTGTTGCTTGATGTGCGCAGATGAAGCAGTTGTCTCAACATGGGGTATTCATTAAGATGTAATATCCGGTGCGTTATGATTAGATCAACCCTCAGCCGACGATTTGCTAGGGTGTACAGCCCTAGTTTCTTACATCGGTCTTCATATGGCATACCTCGTTTTTGTCAAGTTTACCACTCACAGTTTTTGAAATTTTTTTCAGTTTGTTCGTTTTTAGGGGGAGGAGGAAGGGACACCGCAACACACTGATGCACACGTCCGCCATTGACATCGATCTTGAGCCATAACTTCCAAGGTTTTCAACCAGCAAGTATCCTCGTCTCTCGGACCCCAACCAGGTAGTCGACAACAACCGGCCGAGGCCAATTGTTTCGTCAACTTTTTCATGCGGCTTCTCCATGTTGTAGGCTGTCCACCAGACCGTCTCTTCCAGCCCTGTCCAGCAAGTGCAAACAACGCACGACGGGGGTAACGCTGGACAGGCATGCGCAATACGTGTCCCAACCACCGCAGTTGATGCAGTGAGATGAGCTCCTCGAGCGAGTGGCTTCCACGTCCCAAGACACGCTGTCTAACTTCCACATTGCTTACGTGGTGCTGCCACCACACACGGGCAATGGACCGCAGACAGCAAGTTGGGAATCAGCTTAGTGGCTACATGCTGCACCCGCTCAAGCTTTTCTACCTCGCCCAGCGTGATGGGACAGTATGCGGGAGTGCCGTACTCTAGCATTGGTCGTATTATCGAGACGAAGAGGCGAGTGGCAATCTCTTCGGACCAAGTGCTGAAGCTGCGCCTGAGCGCCCAAAGCATCCGAAGGCTGTTTTGGTACAGGCTATTCGTGTTGTCAATGGACTTTAGGTCGCAGCGTGATAGCACACCGAGGTCGCGCACGAAAGACGCGGGATGCAGCGGTTGATCAGCCACTGTGTACGTTCGGCTGTGCTCGCATTTACCCAACCTCATGAATCGCGACTTAGCAGGGTTGATCGGAAGGTTAACCTCTGCAGACCATGTTGAGAGGCTGTCGAGGTCCTGCTGAAGTAAATCACAATCACTGAGTGTGCGGATTACTCTCCACACCTTCAAGTCATCTGCAAACAACGCACATGGTGATTGGAGTAGCTTAGGCACATCGTTTACATGGATCAGAAACAATATCGGCCCCAGTACAGTGCCTTGGGGCACGCCGCTGCTCGATGGATACCAGTCTGTTAGATGGTTGTCCACCTGGACTCTCCACTTCCGATCCACAAGGAAATTTCTGATCCATTTGTGTAGCGAACCACCAACACCGTACATCCTCAGCCCGTCAAGGAGCACTGCATGGTTAACCTTGTCAAAAGCCTTACTGAAATCAATGTAAATGACATCGACTGAATGGCCTTGGTTCATGGCTTGTACCCACTCGTGCCTTGCCAACAGTAGGTTGGTGATGCACGAGCGACCTTTCATGAAAGTGGAAGCAAGTCGGTGATCAAAAGTTACGACTGTACACTGGTAGGAATAGATGGTGAAGATTGTGCACAGATTCATCTGAGCTGAGCCCATAAACAGTGGATTGTTGTTGCTTATGAGAAAAGGCAACCAACCTCTCGTGAAGCTTCCGCGAGGAAACGGACACCAAGCTCATCTGAAACTACTAGCCTACTCGACATGTGTAGCTATGAAGGGGATTTAGTAAGCCACTTGGTGCAGTTCGGTGAAGAAGAAGAAGCACAGACCACTGCACCGCGCTAATGCTTTGCCTTCTTGGAACTATAGATAAAATATTGCAAAAAACACAGTATAGACAGAGAATTAGAGGAAGAGTCGTGAACTGAATAGTTCCCATCTGATGTTCATGTATCCTGTTTTTAGGACGTCAAAAAGGAAGCTATGAAAGAAAAGTAGACGATACCAGTTCGATTGAAGCAACGTAAACATATACTCAATCACTGATAGCATAGCTCACCTTCATTAGATGCTATCAAACTCGAAGAACAGTCATGAACCACTTCCTTCAAGTGCTTCACCGAGTCTCCAGGTGATGGCACCGTGAAACCCCATAAACGAGTAACGTGCCTGACAGATCGAAGCAAAGCATCAAATCTACCAGGAACGTCTGACCAAAAAGTGTTTAACCAATCAAGTGCCACAAGTCCCAAACTGTGAGATGGTATCCCGGTGCCAGAAACGAGTCCAATCAGAGTAGTCAAGTCAACTTGCTGCGTATGCGGTAACTCTGGCAACGGCAGTTGGCATGTCTAAAAAGTATGACGAGACAAACTGATGGAAGCAAACGTAATCTAACAGAAAGTCACTCATACACATTAGTAAATGTGCCAAACATTCGCTTGAACAAGCTCAAGTTGTATAAATTCCGGCTACAATCCAGGGCACTAATTAGGGACATAATACTTTAATCAGATCAAAAGGTGAAATAGAAAAATTATCGCCAAAAGCTTAAACCGTCATTATAAAGCAAGTGATCAGAGGATAAGATATTGGTAAACAAATAACACTCACTTCACAGCGAAAACACAATGAAGGGAACGGTTGATTGGACCGATCTTTTCGACACAGAGAGTGAACAGCTAACTCCTTTTACAATTTCTCTAAAACCAAGTGCAGGATCGCAGGTGGAAATGATACCCGAAAAGGGGAGGGGCTAGCGGGAGCTGAATGCCTAACAAGCTACTTGTTTCCGGTCGGAGCCAAGGCAACCACTGCACGAATGTGGGTGGTGAATAGCAACCAATCGAGAGGGGTTAGGACATGGTCGTTGTTCCCGAAGTGACTGAGAGCATATCGGGCTTGCCGGTTGGTGCAACTGATCCGACGGCACGTGATGTTGATCGGGCAGAAGCTGTAACGACTCATTGTGGTGGTTCCCGCTGCTCGAAGTCTGTAGCTATGCCAGTAGTTACAAATCTAAATGTCCTCGTTGAGCGTACCCAGGAGTTAACCGTATGGGTGTTGAGGTACGCGTGTTGCGGGAAGGGGTCCTTGATGGCTGGGTCCCCACGTGTCCGCTGACTCACAGGCTGTGTG